CAGAGTAGCGCCAACCTCAGGCTGAGTATAAAAGTGAAGCCCAGGGAGTTTAAGCTTAAGCGTCAGGAAGGGGCTACTGTTTCTGCATGGTTGTCAGACCAGGGTATGCTTTAGTCAGGCCCAACACGGGATTAGCGAGCCCACGAACATAAAGCACATTTGGTTTTTCGGTCAGCTCCACCCTTCAGTCCTCACACCCAGTCTCACCACACCAAGGCAGCAAATCCTCAGTTCAAGGTTTCAAAGACTGGACTTTGCCATGCCCATCTTTTATTTATAGTTTATGGTACTTATAAACAAGCTTCTTTCCCATTTCGATCCAAATGTCATGAACATGTGACCTCGTGACCCCTGAATGACGTCAAGTCAGCACAATAACTATTAACGGCTTGGTTTTAAAATTTAATTTAATTTAAAAAAAATTAAAATTAAAAGTTTCTATTTTACTTTTTTGTTTAATCTGATTATCAGTTTAAAATATAAAAGGTAACTTTAATAAACCTCTCCTCTGAGAAACAGGAAATTTACAGTTATTTAAATGTCATTTATTCATAAATTAATAATAAAATAGTTTGATGTTTACATTTTGATGGCTCTGTAAATCAATTAAATCACAATCATGAGGGTTTCTAGTTGTTGCACCCCACCTATTCATTAAGATCTGATCACAGTTTGGACAGAATGGGATTCATGAATAGTTCACACTGGAGTAAAAACAGTCAAAACTGATGGTTGCCTGATTATTGCTGTGTTTTGTTGCTTTTTTTTTACTTTTTACTTGCAAGTACTTAGTGCAAACATATAGTTGATTTTCTATTGCAAGGTAGTTGCAAACATTGCCTGGTGGGAGGCAACGTCTCCAAGCAACTGATCGCTCGAAGTTTGCAAACACAGACAAATTGCTAGCATGCTGTAGTCAACTCGTTGTATTCTGGTTATAAGCAGCAGCTACGTCACCGTTTATGGAGGAGTGTAGTCAGTGGGAATTTCTGATTAATATAAGTTTGATTTGAATGTGATTTGCAGCAGATTGATTCATAATCACTATATTATCACAAACAGACTGAATGCAGTTGCCAGTTTGAGTGCATTCAATTGAACGATAGCAGACTGACGTCGTCTTATTGTTACACTAAGGTCATTTTAAAGATGGCATCTGACTAAG